GGAAGTTAGCATTTGCCGTACTTTACTGGACAAAACAGTCCTATTGTGGAACTTCCATTGTTTTGTCTTTGAAGTCAGATCAATTGACTTTCAGTTTAGAGAATTGTCGTTATTTGAATGTTATCTGGTTAGGTGCTGAATTTGAAGCTCAGCTGATAGTAGATAAACCTGACCAAATCGTGCTTCAATTGGATGGCGTCAAACTATAATTACTAAAACTTCAGAAAAACCTTCAATGGGAGCCTAGGGCAAAGTATTTTGGGATTGGTGGAGAGGTGTAGACTGAGATAGGGACTGATTTTCACGACATTTTCTTTGACTTTGCCATTCCCAAGGAAACACACAACAGATAAAGATTCTTTTGCAGCGTTGTTTTTGTTTTGTCTCACTGTAATTGCATTTCTGGTTTTTCATCTGCAAAGTTTTATTATATGGTTTAAACCCAGTGCTTACATTTTATGGATAAGCAACTTTCAATTCTTGTTTGGTGAATGGTTTCTTGATGGGCACTAAAGATGCCTGATTAAGTATGTGGCAAAAGCTAACATGCAAGAATGTGACGCAGGTTTTCCAATTGACATATTCATGTTCTAGATATTAATCACAGGAATATATTCTCATTATTATAGCCTTTTTCCTATTTTAACTTAATAATTGATTGAGTACGTCTAGTGAATTTCCACTTTTTCCATGACTCTATTAGACAAGTTAGCAGGCCGGAGACGAAGTGTTCTGTTGTTTCAGTCTATAGCTCATGGGAAGTGAGGAAACCTTAATGTTTTCAGTGCATCAAGGAACGTTTTAATGGTCCAAATGTCCATTTTTTGTGTACATGGGGATGGGTGAGAAGAGTGTGAAGGTGTCCAGGCCATGCGATGGCCATCCGTCAAGATTGGTGGGGATCACCGGTTTCCAGGCCTTCCCGTAAGAACTCCTGGCTACTACTTTACTGTTGTGTACGGGGATCCTGGCACTGAAAATAATGAAGATGACTCATGATGTAATTTGAAATGTGTGATCTGGGCTGTTCTGGATAATTATTTGTACAGTAATAGGATAGAAATGTGGAAATCGTATACAGTAACCATATAGACATCGAATGCCCGCAAGTTCCCCTCGGGCAACACTTCTGGCATTATATGTCCCTGGTTCTTGTGGTTAGGAAACACCTGTTCAGAATGATTCTCCAATTATAAATTCTCTTAAGACTGCCACATTTTGTATAGATCACGCTGTATTATAATCGTTGAATGAACTCTTTTATACATATCTTGCTTGTTGTTGCAAATATTTCAACAGAATATTTGTAGGAGGCAATTTACATAGTGGAATGGTGTAATCTTGCGTTTGAACATGCTCACCACAGAACAGAATACTGTGCATATCCAGAGATACATGCAGATTAAATTCAAATGGACAGCCTCGTGGGATAGAGATTGATCGACAGTGTCCTCCATCGTGCAAGATTGTGAAGGACCCCATTTGGATCCCTTAAAAAGATATCAGGTGCATGCACACCGTGTGTATTTTTTGAATTCTCTCTTCATAGCAGGCCAGTCATCTCTAGAATGACTGCTTTCAAGCCTGAAATTGCGATCGAGAAATGACATGCTGGCCTAAATATTCCATCCACAGAAATAGTCCGCATCCTTCTTTTTTTTTATTTCTTGGTTTCGTCTGCATTGATGAATCGGAAAAACGTGGCTGAAAGATGGATAGCTGAACTTTTTGGGTGGTGTAATGTCTATGGGGCATCCAATGGCTGTTCAGTCAACGTCTGATATATAATTGGCCAGTGAATTTTTGCAATAGAAAATAAGATCCCTGTCCATGTCCCTCTCTCTTGTCGGAAGTATTTTCGTTGTGTTCAAACTTCTGCTTCTCTTCATTTTCACCCCTGCAGATTAACTTTCCATCTCTAAGCCTGTACTTTAAAATTTCCCACTGTTATCTCTACAATTGCTTTCTAACAGTTTCAATGGTATCCCTCGTCATTTGAACTAGGAAAGCCAATGGCCTCCTTAACTTCAAGAGATTTCTTTCCATTTTCTTTCTCCAATTTTCTTTTCTGTTTCTAGTTTCGTTCTCATTTCTCTCTAGAGATATGATGTGGAATGTGTGTTCATTTGGTGATTTTGAGAAACTGTTTTCAACTTTTGGAAATTGAAAGATCAAATGAAGAACTTGTAGCATCATTTTCATTCGCTTTCTTTCCTGTTCATTGGACAACCAGAAAATGAACAAAAAAAGAAACAAAATTGCAACTTCACAACGGTTTGAAATTAGTATATTGTTTTGGTAGATAGTAACAGCTCCTTCATTCAATAAGAGATAAGCTGTGTACATCACCATGGATAAAAAGAAGAAATGGAACCGGGGAATCAAGATATTGTTAACAACTAGATCTTCCTCCTGATTTATTTTCTTTAGTTCCTGCTGTAGAGCTCATGTTTAAGCTAATGTTTAAGAAGAAAGAGAGAAAAATAGACTAAGAAGAGTAGGGACTGTATAATAATAGGGGATGAATATGCAAAAGATGAAAAGAAAAATAAGTTGAAGAATCAAACAAAATTGAAAAATTATAAGAAAGAGATCTCACATATTAAAAAGATATAATTTAATTAATCATGAATCAATTATAAAACAAAATAACAATATAATTATTTAACATTATTTTTCAGTTTAATTTTTTATATTTTATATAGGATTCTAGACAACATTAAATAGGAGACATTCAGAGAAAGGAGAGGGCAAACAAAAAGAATAAATGAGAGATAATAAACATATATATATATATATAGTTTAAATAAATATTAACATATATACATAATAAATACTTTTATTATTAAAATTAAATAATAATATAATTTATCTTAAATAAAATAAAATAATTTTATCTTTTACTCAACATAACGATTTAAGAGTGCTTTATTTATAATGTATTTAACAATATAGTAGTGGTTAATTTTTTATATTAAAATATATGTTGAAATTTTTTTATTTTTTAAATATTATTTTTAATATTAACACATCAAAACAATTTAAAATATATAAATTATATTAAATTTTAATAAAAAATAAAATAAAATTTAATTTTTTTTTAAACCCAGATTGTACGGCGTTCCAAATCTCTCATTGAAGCAGTAAAAAGGGAGAAACATCCGTTTCAAGTTCACCGTAGGTGACGAGCTTCTCTAGAAAAAAGAAGAGAGAACTACCGGCACGAATATCCAATTGGGATCGAGTCAGAAACGCGGGGAAACTCCAAAACATGTACGAGTAGTGGTCCCTTGGCTCTTCGATTTGCTCTTCCACGGACCTCATCTGGTTTTCTGCATTCTATACTATAGGATACTTCCAAAAGTGCAGAGAGACTGCCCATGCCTCACATAATTCTTCTCCGTCGCCGCCTCATGTTCCCCACCTCCACCTCCCCTTTTCCCCCACTCTCCCCTTTCTCTTGGAACTTAGCCATAGTCCTGGTTGGGTTTTTATCTGTCTGCTGATGTGACTTCTCGCGAATTATAAATCATAGCTTCTGTGATGCTAATTTTTAAAATATTACCAGACGGAGGAGGTGCAGGAGGAGCAAGTACTCTTTCTGCCTCAACTCTCCACCATGCCTGGTTACAGGACGGATGGAGAGGGACAATGATAGATAGACTATTATATTGTTATTTTTTTATATAATTTTTTTTAGATTAATGTGGGTGTTCGCGCCAGCTTGCCCGTATCATGATTAATCTCACGACTAATTCTACGGATCTTAAAGTTAACAATTATGTAAATCTCCAGTGACCATTATACTAGTAATCAAGAACTCGAATCTGATTTTTTTATATAATTGATTCATAGAGGTGGTTGTTCTACAAGGACTTAATTGAAATTTGTCAATGACGAAGGAGGATGTTGAATCATAACTTTCACTGTACCAACCTATTCTTTTTATTTCTTTTTTCTTTTTTTTACGAAAGTTTCCTTAATTAAACTATAATTGATTATCTTTTCTTTTTTGTTTGGAAGCCTTTCGTTACCAAAAAGGTAAAACTATTGATGGAAATAATTCTGTCGGCACAATTAGTGGTGGAATTAAACAAAACTTCATTATTGATTCTGTTGCTAATTAAAAAATAATAATTCATGTTATTATTTTTTTAAATTTATTTTAAAATATATTTATTAATTTCATAAATAAAATAACATTTTTAATAATTTATGCCAATAATTCCACAGGAAATATTATAAATCCCTTCAAAAACATTTAAATTTTCATATGCTTCTCTGAAAAAATTAAATTGCAAAAAATTTAAGTAAAATATAAGGAATTTAATTTTCCATTTAAGACTTTTAGTTAAAATCTGCAACCCAGATAAGAACTCCATTGTGGCTACCCTTTCTTTATCAATTTTTTTTTAAACAGTGAAAAGATATATAGTTATTTTTTATTTTATTTAATAAGAAAATGCCCGTGCTGTACTTTGATCCCTATCCAAAAGTTAGCTGCGGGTAGGGGGGATGGGTGGGGTCCAATATTTTTCTGATAATATATGATTCTAATAATACATGGGGGACAAAATAATGTTAGAAGAAATGAAAATTTAGATGGTGGACCGGCGGTCCTCATCTTTTATTACACCAGTGTATTTAAGAGAGTGATAATACTTTTAAGTGTTTTTGGGTTTACAAAAATATGTTTTTTTTTGTTTTTTAATTTAATTTATTTTTATTTTAGAACATCAAAATAATCAAAATAATATTAAAAATAAATTTTTGTTCTTAATTTTAATTTTAATTAAAAAAACAAATTAAATCTCACTCTTAATCACCATTTCAGTTTTATACACAACCAGGACAATAAAAACAAAGGCAGGCAGATTAACCAGTTCAAAACTCCCTCTATTTTCTAAGTTTTCTTAATACAGTACTTCATCTTTTAATTTTACTAATATGGTCCTTGTATTTATACTTTAAACATTCAAAATATCAAGTTAATCTAGTTACTAGGATCGGTTGGAGCATCCTCTAATCCAAAATTAAGCTACCACATTTATTCTATAATCTTGATTACAACTTTGTCATAGTTTCATAGTTAAATTGTAGCAGTGTGGATAGACAAACTTAGTTAAATTGTCCCTTTTATTCTCTCTCCCTCCCCTCCTCTCTCAACTGCGTCTGCAAGTTGTTAAAGGTGCGTGCTTGCCCCACTTTAACTGGATTTCTTTGTTTCTTAGTCTCTCCAGGCTAGTTTATTTCTCTAAATGATATCCAGCAAACATTCTTGTATGGTTTCCAGGCTTAATTTTAGGCAACTGGGTGTTGGTTATTTCTGTTAATAATCATGTATTTAATTACCTTTTCTCTGATACTCTTTCCCTTTGCCAAGGCTAAATAGTGCTAAAATTTAGATTTGCAGCTTCCTTGTGTTCTGCACAAGCTACTCGTACATCTGTAATGCTATAACATTTGCACTGATTGTACCTCTTTGTTTTCATGTGCTGTCCTTGTTTCCAGGCATTGTTGAAATGGGAGAAAGGGCTGTGGTTTGCGTGTTAAAGACTCTGTAAGTTCGTAGGAAATTGGAAAAGAAAGCTACAACTTTTGTGAGATATTGCAATGCCAGTTCCTCTTGCACCTTATCCAACACCTCCAGCCCCATATGCTCCTACCCCTCCTCCTCCTCCTCCTTCAGCAGCCAATGGTATGTTTGTTTCTTGCGCACTTGTTTTAGCTTCAAAAGTCAAAAACTATTTTGGATTTCCTTTGCGTTTCAATTCGCAAGGAAAAAGAAGACGAGGAATTAAAGGGAATGGCCAAGAGCCCTTGGAATCTTGCATCTGCTTCTTGATGCTAGTCTTTCTTTTCTTTTTCTTTGTATAAAACTAAGCATCATGTGATTCAGCACGACTACAGATTTTCTGCTATTATTAATTACTTGATACTGCAAATGCAATCTATAATTTAAATTGCTCGTTATCAGGTGCTAGCTCTGTAAATATTTTAATTTGATGATGATTTCAGGTGCACAGAGCCAGCTTGTGTGTTCTGGATGTCGAAACCTGTTGCTCTATCCAGTTGGAGCAACCTCTGTATGCTGTGCTGTTTGCAATGCAGTCACAGCTGTGCCGCCTCCTGGTACGAGTAAATCTATCATGTCACTAAACAATCTTCATATATTCACTAATCGAAAACTGAATCTGTTAGATCCAGTTTAGACTAAAGAGTTCTCTTGTTTCATATCCATCGATAGCAATAGGATCCAATTTTGTATCATCTTCCTTGATACATGAGAAATAGTCAAGGCATTTATCTTTTCCATCTTTGTTATAACTTAAACCAGAAATATAATTTCTTTCCCCTCCTATCAGCCCTTGGCCCTTTGCTATTGTTTTATGGAAATGTTCAACAGATGCATTCACCATTCGATGAACTGCTGCGATGCAGAAACAACACTTCCACATATAAATTGTTTATGACATCCAGAGAAATATCTGAACATGGTAACTTGTTTGTTCAACAATATATGAATAGGCACGGAAATGGCCCAGTTGGTTTGTGGAGGTTGCCACACCTTACTCATGTACATCCGTGGAGCAACCAGTGTGCAGTGTTCTTGTTGTCACACAGTCAATCTAGCCTTGGAGGGTAAGGAACTTGAGAACCTATTGCTTTTCAACCACTCTAATATGTAATGTATTACCTGCCGAAAGACTTTTTGCTTAAGATCAAGCTGGGAAATAAACATCACATCCATAATATGACAGCAAATCAAGTGGCTCATGTCAATTGCGGGAACTGTAGGATGCTGCTGATGTACCAATATGGAGCACGGTCTGTGAAATGTGCGGTTTGCAATTTTGTGACACCAATTGGGGTCAGTACATAACTTTTTTCCTCTTTTTATATTTTTTTTAGTTCAGAAGCCCCTAAAGTAATTGATAGGGTCCATTCCTGAAATAGCAGTTGAAGGCCAAGTGATAGATGACATTCATAGGTGTTCAAGACATCAAGCAACAAAAACCTTAGAGCACCCCGCGCGTGGAGGCTAATTAGAACATGAATTACATCTGTAGATAAAATGATCTTAAAGAGAAGTTAATACCAATATTTAAGTAATCAAGGGTCTTTTTTCTTCTGATGAACACTCAAAACCTCTACATCTTTCTGTTGATTTTTTTCCTTTGTTTGTTGGATGATGCAGGTCTCGACAAGCGCCACTGAAGAGAAGTTCACTGCCTGAATAGTTACACAGCTGTACTAAGTTGGTCATTACAGACTCTACAAGTATGTTTTTGCATATTACAATATCTCCTCCGACGATAGCATCTCCTGGTGAAGCAGAGGAAAATCCCTCCAGCCACAAGTATAGAGTTATGTTTTATCTCCCAATTGCGTGACCTACCTACTTAATATGAATAAGCAGTTTTGAATGAATGAATGTGTGTAAAGTGTTAAGATTCTATGGAAAGACTTTTAGACTCTGACTCTGAGTGCATTTGGAAATCCTGGGATAAGATGGACTTCGTTTTCTTCTACTTCGACAATATGTGACCGCACAAGTAGCATCAGGTGCACCGGAAAGATTCATTTCACATACTCTCTCTGCTATGGAATTGTCTGAAAAAATGGTCTCAATACAAACAGTTTCTACAAGTTCATTTACCTCGACCAGATAACTTCTTACTATGATTAGAGATCACATAGGGTACCAAAGAGATATTTTAAGAAGTATTTATAACTTAATCGGTGACCACACCTCCCCTTCAAGGAAGAGTTTCTATCGTCAGAATTCTTCCTCGAGCAACAAAAATGAAAAATGGTCATGTCTTCAATCAACTCCCTACCAGAAACATTTTCCTCGTGGTTTGAACTCGCCCATCTTCCTCCTCTTCTTTTTTCCACCATGGGGATCTTGTTTTCTCTTCAGCTGGGATACAGTAATTAGTCCTTCGCAAAACAGTACGAGTCATTCAATCAACTACCTCGGGTCCCTTTTGTAGAAGATCCAAGAATTTCAAAGAAAATTAATGAAGATTCCAGCACCACTTAGGCAAACCATGTGGCTCACCTCCTTTACAAGATTTTACCTATCTCGGCTTCAACTCCACTGTTGATTGTACATGTATACTGAAACCTAAAATTTGTGCTCAGAACACATTCATATCTCATTTCTTTAATAGCTTAGAAGATAATAAATGCCATCGAACCTCTTCCACATCTGACCATATCTCATATCACCATTCACAGAATAAATACCAGCTCTCTTGTCTAACATGCAATCACAGCACTGAGTTCAGGTTTTAATTTCCTGAAGTATACAGAGGAAGGAGCAGCAAGAACAGTTGTCTAACATGCAATCATTTCAATTAAGTACTTCTGTCCATCTTCCGTGAAGTTTTCTGTTGTTTTGATGATTTGTCGTTTTTCCTTAAATCATTATTGGCACTTCAACTTTTATTTTATATCAATCGAGTACATTTTTTTATTATTCCAATCAAGTACTTTAGTCAATTTTTTATTTTCTAACGTCGGTTTTTTTTTTAAGTTACACTCTAAGATAAGGTTATTTTTAATAAATAAAAATATCATTAATTAAAATCAATTATTTTAAGATTTTTTTATAAAGAATAAAAACTATTTTACAAGTAATTAAAACTAAAAAACAATAATACAACTAAAATAGCCCCCTCCATCCAGATTCCAGTCTCTAAATTATTATTATTTTTTTTTACTTCTCAAATCACATTTTCTTATGATACGTTTAGAGGCTATCATTTTCAGTCATAATTAATAATTAATGAAAGAGCTTATTTTAATTAAAAAAATAGTTTGAGGTATTCAAATTAAAAAAAAAATTCAGGAGTTAAGTTTAGTTTGATCAAAATTTGAAGGTAGTTTTAAGAATAATTTAGGAGTTATTTAGTTGAAAAATTGACTAAAGTACTTGACTATAAAAAAAATCGGTGGATTCAAAATAAAAAAATATTAAAGTTCATGTACTCAGTTGATATAAATGAATATTGGAGTACCAATAGTGATTTAAGAACAAACAACACATCATCGAAAAATGATAAATGATAGATAGAAAGTGGGTGAAAGCACTTAATTGAAAATTAAAAAAAAAATCGGTGTGCTCAAACAAAAAAATTTAACATTCATGTACTCGATTGAAAGGTTGTAAAATTAGTATACTAATAATGCAATTATCCCTAATATGCGGAAGCTATTTCTACCCTCTCATTCTGTTAGAAGTAAATTGTGCTTACCGGAGCGAGGAGGTGATAATTGTTTTTTAAAGTATTATTTTTAAAAAATATATTAAAATAATATATTTTTTTATTTTTAAAAATTATTTTTGATATTAAAATAATTTAAAAACATTTTAAATAAAACAATCAAGTCTAAAAAAAAAAACCCGTTTTAAACGAATCCTAACTACCGCTAGTTTCAGGGGATGCATTTATCAAAAAATAATATGGAAAGAGGTATATTCGTCTCTACGCTCATGGGAATGTGATAGACCACCTGCTGTCCATGGACCCCAATTTTGTCCATGGATGTTCATCGCTAAACTTCTCATGTCTACACAAGTGCCATCACAAATCAAGGGTCGCCAATGGGGCCTTGAACCGGGCCTTGGAGCCCGGTTCAATGATAAGGCTTGATGTAATGGCTTTTCTTTTGTAACTGCAATTTAATTCAGAAAGTTACCCATTTTGGGCTCGGGTAATTACTGGGGAAAAGGTGTTTTAATGAGATTGAGTGTATGGCATTGTGATGGTGCGAGTTGAGAGATGCTTGCAGTTCAAAAAAGAGCTACACTATAAACATGAGAGGTACAACTAATTGTTTAAATTTTAGATTTATATGATCACCTATTCAAGTGTTATAAATCTTCGAGTCATTAGAAATTTATATATTTATTAATTTTAAAATCTCAAGAAATTAGTTAAGATGTACGAAAATCTTGGAGTCATTAAAGATTTATATATTTATTAATTTTAAAATCTCGAGAAATTAATTAAGATCCATCAAAACTCACCCGAACACTTATAATTAAAAAAGAAAAAAAAAAAGAGCTACTACATGCATTGGAGTTCCTCGGTCCTTCAACTTGTGCATCGGCACAATGTTCTGATTTTACATCCGTGTCATCAGCACAAATATATAGGCTGCTCCATCTTTCAGTCCACCAGATTACCTTGATTACGGTCACTCAGTTGTCGTCATCTGTCAGCCCGAAGATACTCCAATCTAAACGAGATAAGATTCAAAACAATGCCAGACGCAGCCATGGATGCCCTGCATGTGTATCCCTATCGCTCGAGATTATAGGAAGAAGATAAATCAAGAACCACCAGCCACGCTATGAATCTAGTTGAAACTAAAAGGCTGATTTTGGTGGTCCATCGAGCGTGATCTGATAGATCCATCTCTGTTCCTTGTTACGTAGGAGTCATTCGCTAAGAAAGCAAAAACCAAGCAATTCCCATCAACATTTCTATCAGAAAGCAGGCCCGTGAAGATGGATAGCAATGCTTATGATGCTATACTGTGTGCAACAAACAGTGACAATAATGCTGACAGCAAGCTAACGTAGTATTGTTGTATGCCATACGACCGGTTCTGGTCATCTTTCAAGTCAAGTCAAGTCACTATGATCTGGATGAAACGCATATATATGTATAAACAAATAAATAATTCAATTCAGCTTAGATTCATATGCAAGTTAACGAAAGATCAGAAAGTTTCTATTGAAGTGAAACTAAAAGAAAGAAAGGAGATTTCCAGACTTTTGAACTTCAATAAGCTGAAGAGGCCAACAACGGATGTGAAACACATAAAGATTGGCCAGATCTTTGTTCGGAGAGCTTGCTATTGGTTAGGATAGATTAATAATTCTAAAGGGTCATCCTCGTCTATATACACAGCCTAGACGATTGTTCTGTAAATGGAAATGGAATCTGCCCAACATGTCTTGGATTTATTGGAAAGAGCCTAACGTCAATATTGCTCCTACGCCTGTGCAAAGGGCTCATCAGTGTGTTAATACAGGTGAAAACGGAGAAACCATTCAATAATAACCCATTAATACAGACGCTAGAATAAATTGATATAGGAAATGGATCGACAACAAGATCAGTTCTATCTTGCAGGTGCTGCTTCTTCATTTTCATTGCACCCCATACACGTAGGTTCCTCAAATTATTAATCTAGAACTATTTATATAACTGCTTTTCTAGCTTCAGCTGTTTTCTCAACTTTCAGAACACAAACTACTTTGGGGCTTTATAGAATCACACGTCCTTTCACTATCATAGTAAAACGTACCCTAAATTCAGAAGTCACAGGCGGTGTGGTGTGCTAGGACTGCAAGGGTATGTTCTCTATCGCCAAAATAACTTAGCCTGCAAGAAAGAAACCTTCAGGAAGTTCAATTGGTCAATAGGCTGTCTTCATATACGGGAAAAGGCAATTAGGAGACCCGGGTTTTTTGTTTGTTTTTCAATTTTTTTTCTGGGGGTGGCGCTCCTAATTCTTATCACCACAACAAAACTTTAGCATGCATGAGCGTCTGTTTAGTCTGCCCTTTTCTTTCTTTTTTCTTTTTTTATGAGGACCTTCTGCTTGTAGCCTTTTTATTTTTAAAAAATATATTAAAATAATATATTTTTTTATTTTTAAAAATTATTTTTGATATTAAAATAATTTAAAAACATTTTAAATAAAACAATCAAGTCTAAAAAAAAAAACCCGTTTTAAACGAATCCTAACTACCGCTAGTTTCAGGGGATGCATTTATCAAAACATAATATGGAAAGAGGTATATTCGTCTCTACGCTCATGGGAATGTGATAGACCACCTGCTGTCCATGGACCCCAATTTTGTCCATGGATGTTCATCGCTAAACTTCTCATGTCTACACAAGTGCCATCACAAATCAAGGGTCGCCAATGGGGCCTTGAACCGGGCCTTGGAGCCCGGTTCAATGATAAGGCTTGATGTAATGGCTTTTCTTTTGTAACTGCAATTTAATTCAGAAAGTTACCCATTTTGGGCTCGGGTAATTACTGGGGAAAAGGTGTTTTAATGAGATTGAGTGTATGGCATTGTGATGGTGCGAGTTGAGAGATGCTTGCAGTTCAAAAAAGAGCTACACTATAAACATGAGAGGTACAACTAATTGTTTAAATTTTAGATTTATATGATCACCTATTCAAGTATTATAAATCTTCGAGTCATTAAAAATTTATATATTTATTAATTTTAAAATCTCAAGAAATTAGTTAAGATGTACGAAAATCTTGGAGTCATTAAAGATTTATATATTTATTAATTTTAAAATCTCAAGAAATTAATTAAGATACATGAAAACTCACCCGAACACCTATAATTAAAAAAGAAAAAAAAAAAGAGCTACTACATGCATTGGAGTTCCTCGGTCCTTCAACTTGTGCATCGGCACAATGTTCTGATTTTACATCCGTGTCATCAGCACAAATATATAGGCTGCTCCATCTTTCAGTCCACCAGATTACCTTGATTACGGTCACTCAGTTGTCGTCATCTGTCAGCCCGAAGATACTCCAATCTAAACGAGATAAGATTCAAAACAATGCCAGACGCAGCCATGGATGCCCTGCATGTGTATCCCTATCGCTCGAGATTATAGGAAGAAGATAAATCAAGAACCACCAGCCACGCTATGAATCTAGTTGAAACTAAAAGGCTGATTTTGGTGGTCCATCGAGCGTGATCTGATAGATCCATCTCTGTTCCTTGTTACGTAGGAGTCATTCGCTAAGAAAGCAAAAACCAAGCAATTCCCATCAACATTTCTATCAGAAAGCAGGCCCGTGAAGATGGATAGCAATGCTTATGATGCTATACTGTGTGCAACAAACAGTGACAATAATGCTGACAGCAAGCTAACGTAGTATTGTTGTATGCCATACGACCGGTTCTGGTCATCTTTCAAGTCAAGTCAAGTCACTATGATCTGGATGAAACGCATATATATGTATAAACAAATAAATAATTCAATTCAGCTTAGATTCATATGCAAGTTAACGAAAGATCAGAAAGTTTCTATTGAAGTGAAACTAAAAGAAAGAAAGGAGATTTCCAGACTTTTGAACTTCAATAAGCTGAAGAGGCCAACAACGGATGTGAAACACATAAAGATTGGCCAGATCTTTGTTCGGAGAGCTTGCTATTGGTTAGGATAGATTAATAATTCTAAAGGGTCATCCTCGTCTATATACACAGCCTAGACGATTGTTCTGTAAATGGAAATGGAATCTGCCCAACATGTCTTGGATTTATTGGAAAGAGCCTAACGTCAATATTGCTCCTACGCCTGTGCAAAGGGCTCATCAGTGTGTTAATACAGGTGAAAACGGAGAAACCATTCAATAATAACCCATTAATACAGACGCTAGAATAAATTGATATAGGAAATGGATCGACAACAAGATCAGTTCTATCTTGCAGGTGCTGCTTCTTCATTTTCATTGCACCCCATACACGTAGGTTCCTCAAATTATTAATCTAGAACTATTTATATAACTGCTTTTCTAGCTTCAGCTGTTTTCTCAACTTTCAGAACACAAACTACTTTGGGGCTTTATAGAATCACACGTCCTTTCACTATCATAGTAAAACGTACCCTAAATTCAGAAGTCACAGGCGGTGTGGTGTGCTAGGACTGCAAGGGTATGTTCTCTATCGCCAAAATAACTTAGCCTGCAAGAAAGAAACCTTCAGGAAGTTCAATTGGTCAATAGGCTGTCTTCATATACGGGTAAAAGGCAATTACGAGACCCGGGTTTTTTGTTTGTTTTTCAATTTTTTTTCTGGGGGTGGCGCTCCTAATTCTTATCACCACAACAAAACTTTAGCATGCATGAGCGTCTGTTTAGTCTGCCCTTTTCTTTCTTTTTTCTTTTTTTATGAGGACCTTCTGCTTGTAGCCTTTTAAGTTCACCCATACATCTATATTACTATAGGAGCCAACAGGCCTTATTGTACACATTTCAAATAGAGAACATCTCTGCTGAATTCTCTCTTCTCCATAACTACAATTTCAAATATAGCAGTTATAACAAGCACTAAAAGCCCCACAGCTTATAAGGCTCCCAGCAAAGCTCATATATAGTTTCTATGTGTTGATATTAAAAAACCACAAGATGGAAATTAATGCATATCTACAAGTCAAAAGCATCATCACAACTTCATTCTTGCAATGAATCGCGTTTGAAGTTTCAATATATCATGAAAAACACCCAATCAACCTGTAAACCATATATAGCATACAATGGTTAAAAAAGATTTAGGAGGGCATAATGAAAATTACAGGAAGGGAAAAAGCAATCCGCTTGCTAGACTAGATGGATTCTCACTTTTGATCAAGTACACTAAATTACCTATTCATCAGCCATGGCCAACTCCAACGCATAGTCATCCCTTTCCTGTGGAATTGAAGCATTTAAGAGTAAGATAACCCCTCCAAAAAATACAACTTGGTCTTTACCCGTCTCCTTTATTTTTCTCGCTTATTTTTTTTTTAAAAAAGTGGCCTTTCTTTTATATAGATGTATTTACTTTAAACTTAGGTCTTAATAAATTGGACCATGATACAGTGCCATATCTGTATAACACACTGACCTGAGGCCGTTAGACTGTTATATTATTTGTATTTAAGCTTATTTTGTCTCCTCGGACTTGATTCCAGAATACTAACGTACTTTTTTTTCCTGCTTAATTAGAGGTCTCTGTGTATAAGCATCAACTACATTGATCAACCAATCCCACATTCCCATGACTCACCAATTACCTAGTCTGTGTATCTTACTAAGTTTTTACAAAAATCAATCACCCATATTGTTTCTCCAAAAATCAAACCATGAATGTGTGCATTATGAAAACTCTCCTTCTTGGAGCAAAATCTGCAATCCTTCTGTTACTGGTCTTTACTGCTGGAATTACTGATCCAGTAGTTGCGAGGCTTGAAGCCACTAGCATACAAGGACTATTTTCTGCATGGTAATCATCATGTGGCACCTTCTGGACCTAATCCATGCACTCTCCTCTCTGTGCATGATCCTAGGTCTTGCAAGCCTCCAAATTAATGCTATTCTGAATCTAGTTTCAAGTGGGGTCTTCAAAATCTTGCTTATTTCTAATGTAAAAAAATCTAGCTAGATTTATATGACTCCTGCAATATTTAGCTGGACTATGTGCATATGTACATCTTCCCTTTTCTCCCTCGATTTTTTCTTTCTTTTCTTATCTATTTTTCTAGCTGGATTCAGTTCACTAATTTGTACGTGCTGATCATAATTAAGTTAGTGGAACTGCATTAATTTCTTATCTTTTATTTATAATGTCCTTGTATGATGTTATAGTAGACAGTGCTGACAGGAAACAAAACAAGAAACATGTGCACTGGTTACCATAATTCTTCATTCACAGCATGTTTCAAGAATTCGGAACTTACAATTGGTCCTCGGGCAAAATATCTTCCAAACTGAAGCCAATACACCTGCACAAGCCAGTTTTCAGAGCTACAAGGAAGCAAAGATTCAATGCCTGAATAATTTCATGACACTGCAGTCTTATTTTTTCTATTTCTTGTGAGGATCAGATAAACATAACTGATGTTTTTCAAAAGTGAAAAATTGAGTTTGCAAGTCACCTCATCCTCATCTTGTGTTTCTACTTCAAGATCAGAAGACGGGAAGCCCACACAAAGAAGCGCATATCCCTGCAGATTGCAAGTCAAAATACTTATCATTCATACATTTTCAAAGAACATGGTAAATTATCATCACAAAATTGCAAATTCAAACACAGCCAGCTAAATTATCTGATTTGGAAATACTAGCTTAGACAACAAGAGAAAGTTGAGCAAGAACAAAAATGTTTCCCAAGAAGAAGAAACTACTTTCATCTATGAATTTTCTTTCTGATGTTATTTAAAATTTGCGATGTTAAGCATAAGAAAAGCTAGATCTGGGACGTAACCACCCACTATGAAATTCCACATCTGAAGGATTTTTTCAAAATACAGTTAAATTAGAGGTCTTTCATATTGACTAAATTTTATTTTACTGTTTCTGCAATTGAAGATCACCATGGATGTTATGCAATCCTTTTAATTTCACATAAGCTTACATATCTGGCATCCAAGAGGGAAAAATATGGAAAAGTTCATTAAAAGACAAGCTTGACCAAAATGATTTGCCAAAGATGTCCTAACAGCATAAAGCACCAAATCATTACAAACTAAAGATCACAAAATACAGAACTTTCAATCATGGTGCTAATATCTGAATACTATTAAATATGAAATAAAATATAAGCCCTTCATTCACCTCTTACTTCTGAAAAAAAAGAAGAAGAAGAAGAAGAAGAAACTGGACCTTCAATTCAATGTTATGTTCTATATTTATTCTAAGAAACCATGTCGTGCTTTATTGAGAGCATGGGATATCCAATTCAATTATCATTGTCTTTTTTTTCTTCCTGAACTCGTCCACTAAACAGGATTTAAGTTGTTGCCTCTAGACAACTGTGCATAGTTGGTATAAAGTGAAGCTTCAGAACTCTGCCCCTTCTACAAGGTCCCTAGAGCACAATGTCCATAAACCTAAATTATAGGTAATATTCAGAAGCTATGTCACTGAGATAAATAAAAAATTAAGAAAAAAAATCTGAAATAAAGGGCCCAGACCTTCGACTTCAACTCAGCAGAGATCCCTAAAGCTTCTGGCTGTCTAAGTTGTCCTGATTTAACACGTACAGCACAGCTGGTGCAACAACCTGCAAGCACATAGCATTTCATCTAGATCAATTCTAACCAGAAAAATAGAAAGGGCCATAGACAGCAGAGTAAATACTCGGGAAATCTTATTCTCAAAAAGAAAAAAAAATCATACAGAAATTATCATCAAATGGCCTATCAGAAAACAGTGGAGTAATTTTTTCTATTGATTTGGTAGTGTCAATAACGCAGATGCAAGAGATCTAATAAAACTAGCACTTCCTTTCTTATAAAGTTAAGTTTTGGGTTTAATGCGCGCTAAAAAAGTCATGACTGCAGTGAGCTGTAAGTTGCATAATACATTAAAAGGAAGCTCCTCCAGCGGGTGGAAGAATTGACTGATTAACAAATAAACAAAAGAGAGCGAAAGAGGAATTATTTGTTGGGTTTCCTTTTCTTGTCTTCCCTCCCCACTCCCACTCCTTTTCATAATAAGCTAAAATGAAAGACCCAATGCACCATATCCGACCGAAAACCTCTAAACTCCCAAATACTATTTAACCATGAGTCTTTTAAAATAAATAAAAAATTAATTTAATTTAAATTGATAGAGTGGCATTTGAGAACCATATTACCGTGCCTGCAAGCAAATGGAAGTGTGATGTTCTGTGACTCCGCCGTGTGCAATATATACTGGTCCTGCATTTCGATTTTAAAAAATAAATAAACAAAATTTATACATGCAATTCAATTACTGTCAATTAAATTCAACAAACAGAGTCTAAATTAATAATTCACCTCTGGAACAAGGAACTCGTGAACAACGCCTCGTTGCCGGTCGTGAACAGTGACCTTGTGAGTTGGAATCGAGGGAGAGTAGCTGTTGCCGGTTCGATCGCTCACTCCTAATGAAGATTGAAGCTCCGATGTCGTTTTAACAACGCGGCATTTTAGAGAAGTGGAGTGTTGAGTCGTGGTGTTTGGAGATGAAATTCGCCGGTAAAATGCCGGTTTCCTGCAGAGTGAGTTGCAGGAGTGGCTTGAAATGATAAGGTCCATGGATTCTTTTCGTCGTTTCTCCTCTCCTCTCCTCTCCTCTTTGGCGGTTATTTTATGTTATCTAAGGGTGGAGATTTGCTACTTGCCTTTGTAGGGAATCGTCGGAATGCCACACCACTTGATTGTTTTGCCCATCTGTTTTTTTTTAAAAAAAAGAAATATTGGGATTGACTTGTTCTATGGAATAGTAACTTTCTTTTTACTGGGGTCCAAAGGACTGCTTTGGATAGAAAGGAGAAAAGGGGGTGCATCATATGATATAGAAACAAGTTTTATTATAATTAAAAAAAAAACTTACTTATATAAAAAAATAAAATTGAATTAATAATAAATGCTGGTCATATACCTACAAAAGATATAAATAGTATGATTTAAGAAATTGAAAATGATTTAGCTTGAAGTTTCAAATTTAAGTAAAATAGTTGATTTTCTTATAAAACGAGGCATCCATGTCCGATTAATTTCAATCATAAAGTTATTATTATCTTTAATATTTTAAAGAATATGATTTTAAATCCTTTTAAGCGTGATGGTATCCCTCTTTGATTCATATAATTAATACTAGTAATTAGTAGACTTTCAAGCTCTGTACTATGATACAAGTCTGATGAAATTTCTTTAAATTTATATAAATATAAAAATGTATAAACTTTCATGTATGGTGCCTTTCGTACATTTATTTTATGAATAAATATTTTTTCCATATATACGAAGTGATACTGACTAGTAAACTCCCAAACACATTCTGAATTTTGCACCACTCAGTTTTCAATTAAAGGAAGCACAGGCAAAGCTAGCAACAGCCAGGACAGCAGAAGAGAAAGGGTTGGCCAAGGAGCGTTGAAAAGTAAAGGAAGCACGGGCAAAGACGGAGTTGCATCAGGCCAAAGCCAAGCATGCAGCTGAGAAATTGAGTTCCAACCACCACCACCAACGTCCTGCGGTGGGCACTCGGCCCATGGTTGGAACCCATTCAAACCAACCAGTTGGGACTGCAGGTACCATGCCCGGTAGCACTGTTCCTGCATACCCCCTAGGAGGGCACCCTCCTGGACAGAACCATGTTCAGACTATCAATCATGCAGTGTGTTGGGAGGTGGGACTTCATGTGTGTACGTGTGGGCGTAGACTCGTCTATCTTGAGTTTCAGTCTTCTGGTGGAAACTCTCTGTCATGCATCCATCTTTACCATGCTGCAAGTCATCGGACATACAAGCATGAAGCAGGTGTTTCGAGAGTACAGCTGGTCTGGTTTCAGCGAGAAAATTTTCGTTTGGTTTGCTCATAGAACTCATTTCCTGCAAGGATACGCGGAAATAGTTGATGGACAGATACATGAAAACAGTCAATTGCACAGCATGCAAGTTATTGGAATATCCTGTATTTAATTTTGTGTGCAAACAAACAAATTATAGCAAATCCGGGAATAAGAAAATGTGAACAATCAAACCAGGTGTGCAAGAAGACCGGATATGAAGGCCTCTTCAAAGGGAAGGATGAGAGAATATATATACGAGCAAGTACAGGGAACAAGATGGATCAATTGGTGCATGCATTCAACTCCAACAGAGTCAGTTTTCTAGGGCATCTGTGACATTTATCTGATTAGATGGTCTAAATTAAAATCTTATCGCAAACCAGTTGGACAAAGCCTTGTAACTTAAACAACAATACAGTTGGGTCTAGGGTCTTCACACCACAAAAACAAAGCGTGAATCTATTCTAAAAGAATAACCCGGCAGCAAACCTACCCTAAAGACCTTACAGATGAAACCCAGCCACCCATGAGCCCTGAACATGAAGACCATTATACCCACTGCAGTCTCCCTTGATGTTCCACACGCTGTTGAATTTTTCCATCATGTGAAATCATCTGCTTCTTGATTTTAGCTGGCCAGGTACTGTACTTCACTTCAAACCTCGGCAGAGGCTTGTGCTGTTCATCAACCCTGGAAGATGTATCTGGTAAAACCTCATCAAAGAACTCATCCGCCACGTCTCCATCTTCATCGATCCTGAGTCGTTTTGCATACCATCTCAGACCCTAAATAGGAAAAGATAAACAGACCATCAACATTAAGAGATCAGATCAATAAAAATGTCAGCCAAGACACGGATCAACTGTATACTGTCTTCATAACATTTGGAGCTTGGAACTACAAGACAAGATACATAAAATAAAATAAAGCAGGATAAATTGACTTGCTAGCTTTGCTCTGTTTTACCATTGCTGCTCAAGATTTCAAGGAGCCTCCCAATTAAATCCATGAAAATTAGTGTAATTCTGTGATTCAATTGATCACATGTGTGAAGCGTCACATATATACATTTCATGTATTTAAATTTTCATGAACAAAAAATTTATCCAAAGGAATGAATGATGAGAAAGATCAGAGTGTAAAGATTACTGTGCTCGAGAAACAGCAACGATGCATACAGAGGAGATGTTGATTTTTATGAGGTCACACCGTTACAAATGTGAAAAGCCCAACTTAACTAGCTAGGTTTATCAGCACCTATGAAAGTTCAACTATTTCTATCCTTCCCTATGTACACACACCTAGTTCGGGCTTCTCCAACCTACCTACTTCTACAGATGCTATTATCTCTGCCTCCTGTAATTTACCTGAAATAAACCAGCAGAGTATAACCCTTATTCAATGTCAAGGTGATTAGAGAAGTAATGTTTCCACATGCCCTTTTGGTCTATACAGCCAGGTGGCCCATCATCTGCTTGCCAAAGGAAATTGAAGCTGCCAAGTATTTTACCTCAAAATCACCCATTATGATCTCTCCCAAGAATTTGTGCTTCTAACAGCAACCAATACATCTCAAACATGCTGTTATCTCTGTTACTCATTTGGATGTAGCCATTGTACATGAAATAAAGAAAGAGCCAAAAGATCATAAGCAACTAACAACTAGACAGTGCAGCAGAAAATGGAATACACTTCATCCTTCTCTCATTCATAGAATATGAACTTGAAAGAATATGATTTTTGGCTGCTGTCCATGTAAAAAAGATTGCTAAGAAAGAGACCCAGAGCAAAGTCCTCGAGAGGAAAACATTTCAAAATTACCATGCAGACACCTCAAGTATTCTTCTAAATTTTAGTTAAAATCCAGCTACCTCTTTGTAAATGTGCAGAAATGGCTAGGGGTAATAGAACAGTTATCTCTCCATTTGTCAACTCATTCATGAAATAGAAAGCATATTCTGCCCCTCTCAAGCATTGTATTGTGATGCCTATGCCATTGCAGTACACTCTTTCTCTTGTTTCTTCAAATAGATGCCCCTTGGTTAAACGTAGTATCAGCAAAGGTTAATGCATTCCATTACTTTGTATCCATACCACTGAAAACCCACCTCTGTCAATTGCATAAATACAGTGGCTCGTTTATTTTTTGTGGGTATCACACATTAGAACATTCAAGAAAATGGGTTATCACTCGAAATTGCTGCCTTACAACTTATAAATCTTAGTCCTACTTAATTATTACCAGCTGATATTTGAGACCAAAAAATTTGCTAATGTCCAATGAGACTAAAGATTATTTTAAATGATCTATAGGCATAACAATCTAAGAGCAAAAACACAATGAACTAATCTTCCTGATTTTATGTCAAATCATTTGAAAATAGCAGACACCCTACCTTAGAAAAATTTACAGAGGCGATGATGAAATAACAAATAACTTCAGCAGCACAGGAACTACACACCAAACCAAAGCAAAAGGCCGATCAAAATACCAATCAGAAGGTTCAAAGTTGAGCTTCAACACACATGATTGGTGACTTGAAGTCACTACCATAGGGTCATCTCACCAGAAAACACTCTGCAGTAGCATCATATGTTGCAGACATTCACAAAGATTAACACCAATGTGAGGCAGGCACAGTAAATGTTGCCAACGTGGCAGCACATCATGACACAAGAAATCATTAGAATGCAGAAAACTAATAGAAAACAACAGGCAACATCCCATAACCCTGATAAGAAAAAAGCTTGCAGAAGTTATTTTATGAGACACTACAAAAACTCATTAGGTTTATGGAGGTGAGGGCGAACCAACTCATTAGGTTACAAGATTGGCAGTTTAACTTGCAAATAAGACTACAACGGTGCATCAATAAAATTTGGAGGATGAACATTGCTTTCCATTTATAACTGCATTTATAATGCAAGATTCCTCATGGAAGAAAGCTAGAAATAACAATCATATGTTAATAACTTCACAATCAAACACAAAAATTAGGAGCTGCATTATGAGAACCTCAACAAAACTCCAAATGTAAAAGGTCCAAAATCCATATTCAATCATTCTGAACACGTTTACCAAGGAAAAGAAGAGTCAGATTCTCATCATCTATTCCCTATTTTCGAAGGAAGGAAACAAAGATCCTACTGACCTCTATTGGGATTGACAATAACCCAACTGAAACACAGCAAATTGATATCGAAACTTACTCCTTAGTAAACACCACCAATTATATATCTTGCGCAGCTACATTGTTTAATGACAATTCAACAATACCAAAACAACCCAACACTTGTCATTTCAAAACCCCAAACAACCACTAAAATCGAAAACTATCAAAACAAACAAAAATGTGAAGTCTAAAGAAAGAACAGACCTGAACGCCGCCATCGCCGGAGTTGCAGGAGACGATTACGGGTCCAAGCTGGGGGCGTTCGACGGCGACTTGGAGAGGAACGCTAAAACCTTTACGGGGAAGCCCGGTTTCTTGGAAATTAGAGCGAAAAGAGGCCTGGTTGGGGTGTTGATGATGATCTTCTTCGTCTTCTTCGTCTTCTTCTTGTTCTTGTTGGTCATTCACTTCGTGGCCTCCATCATCTTTAGCAAATCCAAGAAACCCCGCTAACCTCTTAAAGAATCGCATCGCATCCCCGACTACGAGTCGAACTTAATCGAGAACTAGACAAGGAAACGATGGGATTGTTTGTGGATTTTATGGAGAGGGAGAGAGTTAGGATTTAGAGAGAAAGGGGGTGGGGTGAAAGTGAGGTTTGGATTAGAGACTTTGTCGGAGAAGACATGACAGAGGGAGAGAAATGATGTGTTTGCTTACAAATCTGTTTTGTTGCTGGATTGAAAATGAAGATTTCGATAACGTTATTTGTCTTTTAAAAATATTAAAAAATAATAATAATTTTTTTATTATAAATTAATTTTTTATATTATGTTAATATATTAATGATAAACATAAATTTAAAAATAAAAATATATTATTTTAATAATTAAATATTACTATAATACAAAACAATTTTTTTAAATTAAGTTTTAAATGGAGTGTGCTTGGTTTTGTTTTGTTATATTTCTTTTTTATTATTTTTTTATTTTACATGGAATAAATTATTTTTATGTAATCTTTTCATGTAAAATATTTTAGTATTTTATAAGTAAAATATTTTTTAATGTTTAGTTTTAAAAAATATGTTTTAATAGTTATAAAAAAGATAATAATAATGAGAGAAAATAATAGTAACTAGAAAATATTGGTGAAGTGGTCATTATAAAAAAAAAAAAAAGGGTAAATAATAGTGGTTAGATAATGATAAAAGTAAAATAATAATAATAGTGATAAGATAACAATAGGAGTGAAGTTATTTTATATAGAAATTAATGGTTTTATTTAAGTGATTCTGACAGAAGTTATAATTAAGAAATCAAAATAATTTAAGGATAAAATCAATATAAAAAATAGTTTGGATGCAAAATTTATACTTCTCAATAATTCGGGGATATATTTTATGTTTTCCCGAAAATAAAAAAGAAAAGTAAGAAGGCGTATGCGAAACAAAGGAAGACCAACGAGTTAATTGCTCTTGACTTCAAACAAAACCATCTCTTCACCATCTCAAAACAAATGAAATGAAATAACCTCATTCTTTCTTTAAAAAAATCTCAAAATTTCCCAAATCACCGATTACCTAATCAACACCGTCCATCAGCCTCGAGACTCCCTAGATCTGCATTTCCAACCTCCACTGCCTTCTTTTACCGGAGAATAGTGGTTGTTTGAGTAATATTTGAAGCGCGATCCACTGGATCAGAGATGCCGGTGGCTGCTTCCGCCGTCTACTTCTTGAATCTTCGCGGCGATGTCCTCATCAATCGCCTCTATCGTGACGATGTCGGGTAATCTCTTAATTTTCCCTTTTATATATGTTGCTATATGAATTTTTAGGAATCTAACCTTGTTGTGTGAATTTCTTTTTGTGGAATTGAATGTTTGGCTCTGTTAAATGTGAAGCAAGTTTAATCATCTTTATTTTATCTTAGATTAACTCTACTAGATTTCGAAAATAAATTCACTCGAACAACGAGTTAATAATGTTGTTGGATGCTGGAATGATTTTTTTTTACCATAAAGGAAGGGATAATCGTCACGAGGACACACGATACTTGCACACTTCAATTTCTTCGAAATAGTATTTCAATTCCATAAAACAAGTCCTGCTGACAGTCTAAAACTTTGCAAACGTGAGTGAAATGGTTCATGCAGCTCGCAACTTCACCCTGCTACTTTGCTTTTGACATATTCAATGAGGCATGGCCATTCTCATTTTTTGTTGTCTTGAAGAAGAATTAAACCTCAAATCTGTAGCTAGCTCAAGGATTTAATTTCCCAAATCTACCCATTTCCCTCCAAGGAATATTGAGAGTGAACAATATTCCTCCTTGACTTTTGCAAAGAAGACAGAATGCGGTGTTCCGCGTATGGTACAGGCCACACCTGTTTTGTAATCAAAGCATTGCAGCAGGTAATGCTTGTTAAGAATGGGCTCTTGAAATCTTTTCCTTTTCATGGGAAGGTGAGGAACTGCATGAGTGGAGCCACATACGGTGTTGGCAGATGAACACTGGACGCTATAGCTTCTTTATCAATGCTATATCATTCCCTCCTTGATTCATGAAAAACCTACTATGGAATCCATGTGCTTTTTTATTGAGAAGCAATGCCTCCTGCTATAACTTCTCTATCAATGTTGTATCATTCCCCCTTTATTTGTGAAAAACTTATTATGGAATCCATATGCTTTTTTAGCAATGCCTCCATTTTTTCTGATTTATTTTAGCCTGTTCTTCCCATTTCCCCATTTTTTGCATTATCTATTCTGATCCTCTTGTTCGTGTTTGAGATGCAATAATTGTGGCGGCTTTGCAGTTTGTAATCTTCAATTGGTACTAAATTTACAAATTTTTTCAGCGGAAATATGGTGGATGCCTTCCGGACACATATAATGCAAACGAAAGAACTGGGAACATGTCCAGTGCGGCAGATTGGAGGTTGCTCTTTCTTTTACATGAGAATTAGCAATGTCTACATTGTGATTGTTGTCAGCAGCAATGCTAATGTAGCTTGTGCATTCAAGTTTGTTGTTGAGGTAGTAAACTTCTTCTTAGTACTTTTTTTTCAGGTTTAGCTTTAAATACATATAAGGATTGGCCTAGATGGTCTTACAGAAGGCACCTGGAAATTGCCTTCTGGCGTTAATGGATTTGAAAAAAAACAACAGGGTGCTGCCTACAAAACAATGAGCATCTATCATTATCTAATTATTTTTCTATTTGTAGTATGATTCTTTTACTAGCATGATTACATTGTTCTGTTATTATTCTTGATAATACACACACCAAATTTGATTGGACTTTCAGTGCCAAATGAAGTCCTTAGCCATCACAAACCCAATGATCAAAAAGCATATCTGTGGGATATTTTATTTGTAGGAAACTGAAAGTAATTTTTTTCTTCAGCAGCTGATACTGCTATTTTCCTTGCTGTATGCAGGCTGTTGCATTGTTCAAATCATACTTTGGTGGGGCTTTTGATGAAGATGCCATCAGAAATAATTTTGTTCTGATTTATGAGCTGCTAGATGGTAAGCAATTGAAAGCTACTAGACTCTTAAGATTGCTTGCTTTTACCCCCCCCCCACCTTTTTTTGGAAATTTTATGAAATCCACTTTACTACTGTTTGTGTTGTGAGGTGATTTTGCTTGTCATTATCCAGCAAATGAAAAATTAGATCAAATTTGCATTTCAGAACTGTAATATTATGCAGATTAGTAATTGATTGGTATTTACATTGAAATTGCAGAGATCATGGACTTTGGTTACCCACAAAATCTTTCTCCTGAGATTTTAAAGCTTTACATCACACAAGAAGGAGTCCGCTCACCGTTTTCGTCCAAGGTTAGTTGTTTGTTTTAATAGATGCTGTTCAGAAGAACTATGACGTGGAACCTTGATTTCCTATAGCTTTTTTATTTGTCAGGATTGGCTTAGAAATGTTGTGTTAAATAGACATTGACCTTTTCTCTTCTTGTGTTTTCACCAATGGGAAAAATAAAATAGCCTACAGATAAACCTGTCCCCAATGCAACTTTACAAGTTACGGGTGCTGTCGGTTGGCGCAGAGAAGGCCTTGTTTATAAAAAGAATGAGGTGATTCAATTTTTCCTACTTCTCACTTCACTGGAATTTGGCCACTGTGCTGGATTTTCACATTATTTGCGTACAGGTTTTTTTGGATATTGTGGAGAGTGTTAACCTTCTTATGTCTTCAAAAGGTGGGTTTTGAATTTTTTTTTATAAAAAAAATTCTCATGTAGCTTTTCTATATCTGTTCTTTTGGATATAATAGAATCACTGACTGGGTTGATCATAAACAACTTGGTGATTATAGGTAACGTCCTGCGCTGTGATGTAACTGGGAAGGTTCTTATGAAGTGCTTCCTCTCTGGAATGCCTGATTTGAAGTTGGGTTTAAATGATAAAATTGGTCTTGAGAAAGAGTCACAACTGAAATCTCGTCCTGCTAAAAGGTAGTTTTTTAATGGAACATAAATATCATCCCTTCCCTCCCTACTGTTAAAAAAGTATTTTGCTTGACAATTCCATCCTTTTCCTTTTGTTATTCTTGTATTTCATTATGACCTTCCTTTTTTTTTAAGCATAATGCATCATTCTATTTTCTGTTTCATTTTCCTTTTTTCCATCTTTTCTGACTGGTTAGGCTGAGAAGTGCTTTCATCGGATGTGATTTTTCTTCTCTAACTGAACTTTGGGCTCAGCTTGATTCTACAATCCATTTGAAAAAAAACCCATAATAGAAGGCTTTGCCTCTGCTGGTTTCCTCACCCTAATGCAGTCATAACATAGTCATATATCTAACCTGGGATGAATAAATACTAAGCAGTTTTCTTTGTGAAATCATCTTTATGCTGATCTCTCTCTCTCTCTAATCATCGTCATCACAGTATTGGAAAGGTTTTTGCTTGCTGGTTCTTGAAACTAATCAATTATGAATTGCAACAGTATTCCATTTCCTCTTTTGCTTATAATTCATTGCTGGGATGGAATAGCCTCTGCTATTTTTGCTGCTTGGTTTTGTGATTTCTTTTTGTTTTTTACATCTACTTTTGTCAAAAAATTGATCTATTCATTTAGCATTTCTTAGAAATCAATTCTATTTAAACACAAATAAATTGTGCCTTGTTGGTTTTAGGCGGCAAGTTGCTATCTTTATGTTTGTTTCAATAACTTGGCCTTTGAATATGCTGTTATGCAGTGGCAAAACAATTGAGCTTGATGATGTTACTTTCCATCAATGTGTAAATTTGACGAGGTTTAACTCAGAGAAGACTGTAAGTTTTGTCCCTCCAGATGGTGAATTTGAATTGATGAAGTAAGTTGAAGAAATCTCTCTCGTGATTTTTTATATGCCTGAAGTTTATGTTTGAATTCTTAAGTTTTCCATGTGAATTTTGGAATTTGACGATAAAAGTATATACCTGCTGGGGTGCCCGTCAGAGTCCCAAATGAATTGGTAGTTTGTCCATAAAAAGGATAAAAATAAAAATTAGATATTATTTTGTTCACTTTTGGTCTGATAATAGTCTGGTGCATCTCATACTTTTCAAAGGATTTTAATTGCATTAACCATGGTCAGTTTACTACCTTGTATGCTTGACAGTTGATTGTGTTTTAATTTTTTTCTTCTCGACAGCCTATCTGGGCCCTTTATTTCCATAGACTGTTCTATTTTAATCCATCAAATCTAGACTAGCTTGAA